TTAAATAAAAACACAAACCATAGCCAAATGCACATTTTCTTCAAGTGTTTTTATGCCTTTAAATCTCATGAAATCCCTACCATGAATGTCTAGAGTACATCTGCTACAGGTTTATGAGGAACTCTGTGTTTAATATGCACTGGAATACATCTTTAAATATAGTCAACCATGTTTAAATTGATCTAAACTTGGAATATAGTCAACCATGTCTACATTGATCTAAACTTGGAATACGTTAGTCATCCAAGCTCCCTCTCCTTATAAATGTAGCCTAACTTCTCACAAACCCGAATACCGCATTCCCCCGTCATGTAGCCTTAGCGACCAAGATCTCCTTCTGCACAAGTTATAGTAAATCTATAGACCTTTGGTAGCGACATACTACCCTAATAAAGCCCCAATATTCAATTAGATAATCTAAGTTGAACTCTTTCGAATTTTATTCAAGTTAAGCCCATTTGATCCAAGCAGATTGCTTTAGATTGGATTAACTATCTAATGAACTGGATATTAACATACTTATCCCCAATAGTTCTTTGTTCCTTTAAGTCAAAATCAATAATAACTATAACACACTGTATTCTTATGTGCTGCACATTAGATTAGGTTTCCCACAAAAGATTAAGACTTGAGTTCAATTTGCCAGTACAAAATCCAGCTAATGCGACGCTCAATTTTAGTAAAAAAAACCACAAATGCAACTAGATTTAAGACTTTTAAGAAGGAGAAGAGGTAAATTACCGTAAATAACAGTGATTACGTTGAGCAAGATGATGCTTCTAACTTTCTTGGAAGCGAGAAAAATCCTCTTCCAAAGATCGATCGGACTCCTCCGCCGCCGCCCCTTCAACGGCGTCGAACTCTTCACCGTTAAACTCAAATCTTCATCAATCTTCACCTTCTCCTTCTTCGTCTTGCTAACGACAGGAGGCTCTTCATGAAGTGAAGACGAGCACTTGACGATCAGCAACCTTTGAGTTCTTCTCTTGATTCTGATCGATTCGTTAAGATAGAAGTGAGAGATCTCGCGCTTTGGAGGTTTAGAGTGAAAGATCCATGTCGAAGAGGAGGAGGAGGAAGAAGCCATGGCCATCATAGCTTTGAGAGAGATCGAATGCTCGCCATATAAAAAGAGATGGACCCGACCCGGCAACTGTTCCCTTTCAGGTTGTGACCCGTGAGCGCGACGAGCTGGGGCCCTCCCGGGTCCCACGTAGAGTGCGAAACACGTGAACAGCAAATGCAACACACAATGGAAAATTTATTGTTGATTAAAAAGAGAAAAATAGTGATATTTTAGCTTTGACTCGAGATGAAAAAAAGCATAAAGAATGATATCTGGTTCTGTATTCTACACGAGGAACATGCACGTGTATTTTTATGAAAAATGTGGCTGTTGTGCGCTAAATAAAGCTTCTTGACAGAACCAACCTACCTCATTGCTCAGTGTAATTCAAATATCATACTCCCTTTAAAAGCACGAGTTCGGAAAAAAAATTTGATAGACAAAAATACCCCTATATAGTTTGAACTATCCTATCACTAATCAAATTCTAATTTTTAAATTGTATTTAATAATTTATTCTAATCCAAGGTAGTATATACCATCAAAATTACAGATTAATAGATTCAAATTACTGTAAAATGATATAATACTTAAAGTTTTAGGATATAAAATCTATTGTTTCAATTATAAAAACAATATCTGGTATATTATAAATAAATCCACTTACAGATTATATCACGTGTGAATGCGCACTCGAAAACCGTAGGCAGTGTAGTTAGTCTTCATAAATCCACTTACAAAGTTTTAGGATATAAATCTAATGTTTCAATTTTTAAAACAATATCAGGTATCTTATAAATAAATCCACTTACTTTTAAAAAAAGAAATCCACTTACAGATTATATCACGTGTGAATGTGCACTCGAAAACCAAAGGTTATATCATGTATACCTAGATTATGGCTGGGGGATATAATCTAACTTATTAATCAATCTCTAAATTCAAAATAAACAATGAAATACAATCCTAATCAAATTTTAATTTTTAAATTTTAAATGTTCGTACAATGAGAACTCTAATTATGACTATTATCCTTTCACATGCAACACCTCATGCCTATATAAACCAAGAAGTTACACAATTTTTATAGTAACTTCATCTCCTTCAATATGTATGTTCCTTTTTTATTTTCATGATTATTCTTTAGTAATATTGTGTACTTGATTTAATGGTGATACTTGTTTTGCACTGCAATTAGTTTTTATGGTAATTGATAAAAAAAATTGAATTTCTTCAGTTTGCATGCAGTATTTAGAGGATTAATTAAGGATTTGATTGTTGTAGGTTCTCCATCTATCAAGGTAAATCTTCGAGGATTAATTAAGGATTTGATTGTTGTAGGTTCTCCATCTATCAAGGTAAATCTTCATATTTGATATTATTTAAATTTGGGTTTATTTGATTATATATTTTATTTGATTAAATCAAAATAAAAAACAGATACCTTTTTTTAAAATTTTTTATTTAATCTTATATTTAATTATCATTTCAAATATGATATAAATCCACTTATACATGTGAAGCAAATAATCTATTAATAAAATTAACACATGGGTGTTGTAGTTAGTCTTCATAGACGTATACCAAGGCGTTGTAGTTAGTCTTCATATACGTATACCTAGATTATGAAGAGAGAGGAGGAACTCACATTACAACAATGAAATGTTACAAATATTTTAAGAATATTTAATGATGACTGTAAGTAAATTAATTCGCTCAATACTTTGATTTAACCTTACAAATATGCTAGAGCACTGAGTGTTATCTATGATATAATACTACATCCATTGAGAGAACCATCCTTCTTTTGCATGAGCAATTCATTCAAACAACAAGCAAACTCTTCCATTAATGGTTTAAATAATTATGGAAATTTTATTGTAACAATATTTTGTCAAGCAACAGTTGCTTTGGATAATCATGGATTATCTGGATTTTTATCAAATTATCAGTTTGTCATGTAATCATAAAATAAAATATCACCTTGATTCAAAATAATGTTTTGCCCACAGAATTTGCTAATGCCCTAATAGAGATCTTGGTCCAGACAGGGCCAAGCCCATAGGCGTTAAAGACAGTAATAAAGTTTTCCATATTTTTCTAGAGACTAATGCCGAGTGACAAAGCCACTATTTTTCTAATTAATTCCAAACATATAAAGATATTTGGACGCTTACACTGGTAAAACTTTTATCACTCTAAATCATATTTTTTCATTATATTCACACATGAAATAGTTCAACACATAAAATTTTATATCAAATATTGTCGTGGGATATAATCTGACTTATTAATCAATATCCGAAGGCATACCTTGGTATTATGCAACACATTCACACATATTAGGGCATTGAAATTTTGCAAATGCACTTGAACAACGAAGGCATGCCTTGATAAACATCTCTAAATTCAAAATAAATAACGAAACACAATCCTAATCAAATTCTAAGTTTTAAATTTTAAATGTTTGTACAAAGAGAACTCTAATTATGACTATTATCCAATCACATGCAACACCTCATGGCTATATATAAACCAAGAAATTACATAATTTTCATAGTAACTTCATCTCCTTCAATATGTATGTTCCTTTTTTATTTTCATGATCTCTTTCCTAATCTAAATAACCAAAAAAACTCTTTCCTAGACTAAAAGGAAATAACCAAAAAGGAACTCTTTCCTAATCTAAATAACTAAAAAAAACTCTTTCCTAATCTAAAAGGAAATAACAAAAAAGGAACTCTTTCCTAATCTAAAAGGAAATAACCAAAAAGGAACTCTTTCCTAATCAAAAAGAAAATAACCCAAAGGACTCTTTCCTAATCTGAAGTCCGATTTGACACGAGTAATACCGTCTTTCGTGTCGATTGGACATGAGTCGACTAAGTATGTCAAGTAGTCCCGCCTTTCATGTCGACTGGGATGTGTAGACTCGTCTTGTCGCCTGTCGTCTCGTCATGTCGTCTCGAGTCGTCTGCTCGACTGGACTGGACTGTTTTTCTTCTCGGCTTGTCCAAGACTTGATCTCTTGCATCAAGCTCACATCAAATAGTAAATGAGTTTTTACATTTAGAGCATAAGGCCAAATATATCATAATCTCCTTGCTCTAATTCCAAAAGAAAATAAGCATTCATACTTTTAGCTTTACTTCTATGATACAGAGAATGAGTTACAAAATCGATTGGGAATATTAGATAATGCAAATATAAGTGAAATCGTAACTAAGAGCTTGATGGATATATTGCAAGGAAACACATGTGCAAAGTTCCTTTGCAAATTGAATGATTATCAAACTTTTGAAGAATTTAAGATACTAATAAATAGTAACGTTGTACTAGATCAAGTGTTTATAACTCACCAATAGCAGATCAGGTGGCTGTAATCTGGATTGAAGAAAATAATGACAATGCACCATTTGAGAAAGAGATAGTTATCCATGCACACTTAGGAGGAAGACATCAAGTGAAACACTATTTTAGCTGTTATGATCCGCTGCAGTATCCTTTACTCTTTCCAAAAGGAGAGGTTGGATGACATCAAAATATTAAAAGAAGGGATAAAAGGGATATCAGAGCTTTCAATCAACAAAGAACTATAATAGCGACTTCAGTAGCCTTACCAACATTCACATCTGCAGAAGACATATTTAATCGAGAAAGTAAAGGTAAATTTAAATTCACAAATCTTAGTAATATTATTATATATGAACATAGCTTAACCCTCAAATTTATAGGCATCAAGACACCAAAACCTGAAAAAGTCTCATGCCGAGATTATTATTGTCATAAGCTCTAGATAAGAGACTCTCGATAATAATATGATGTTGATATGCACATAAAGCTTGAAACAACAAGACTTGATTAATTTAGAAATAAACAATCAGAAATCAGAGCAGAGTTATTCCAAAGCATCGTTAACAGTGTAGCTGCCGGGGAAACAAATACATGCCAAGTGGGGAAGAGAATAATGCTTCCATCATCATTCATAGATAATCCTAGAGACATGTGTCATAGATACATTGATGCAATGTCATTAGTACAACGATTTGAAAAGCAAGATCTTTTTATAACAATGACATGTAATCCAGAATGGGAAGAGATCACTGAGCAACTACATCTAGGTCAAACCCATAATGACAGGCCAGATCTAACCTCAAGGATATTTCGAGTAAAGTTCTAAGACTTGAAAGATCAACTCTTTAAGAATGAGATCTTTGGAAAAGTTACCGCACATGTTCACGTAATTGAGTTTCAAAAGAGGACTACCACATGCACTTGAGATCTTTGGAAAAGTTACCGCACATGTTCACGTAATTGAGTTTCAAAAGAGGACTACCACATGCACTTATCTTAATAATTCTTATTGGAGATCACTTTCAAAAGAGGACTACCACATGCACTTATCTTAATAATTCTTATTGGAGATCACAAAATCACATCATCGGATCAGTATGATAAGTATGTATCTGCAGAAATTCCAGACCCTGCCCTCTTATGATTTGTTACTCGTGTAGAGAAGTACAGCTTGCCCAATGACCAGACATTCGAAGAGCTAGAGGACATCCGTCAACTTAATCTACTTTCATTTGACTATGTGATTCCATACATTAACAGCATGAGAAATGATATTGTCGCAAAAGAAAAAACACTTAAAAATAGCATTATAAAAAGAAGATGCTACGTAAAGTCAATGAGCCAAGATGATTGGTCTATAAGTAAATTACAATGATGAAAAATGAAAGCATTGTGTTGATTTTTAATAAATTGACCGTGTGATTCCATATATTGATTTTTAAAAATATTTAAATAAAAATAATAGTAAATAAAATAATTCAATTTAACATATCTGAACTCAAGATGAATCAGACTTATTTATAGTAATAAAATAAATATAAAAAATATTTTGATATTTTATCACGTGCGCTGCATGTGCATAAAAACTAGTTCGATTAAAAAGAGGAAGTTGCGTATATATGAACAGCAGTAGGTTCTTGATTTAATGGTCGTATTTTCTTTGTTAAATAATGGTTCTCAATTGAGATAT